CTACAAAATGTAAAAATGCTCATCTGAATTCAAATCATACCGTCAGAACTTCTTGAGATCCAATTTCATCACCACCATAGACAAAGAGTTGGCCCCTATGATGTTTATGTAACCTATTTGCAGACCAGTGCAAAACAATTACGGGTAGTCTTCTATCACCTGATGATAATTGAAGCTTTGCAACATTGTTATCTGATTCTTCAGATTTCTGATCCTTGGTAGAGGCAGCAGTTGATAAGTCCCAAAACATTATATCACCATCTACATAGCCAACAGCAAGAATTGACCCATTATCAGATACCCAACAAAGAGAGCTTATCTCTTTCTCCACCTGTTTGCTTTCTTCGGTAGCATCAGAAAGCTCATTTCTTGTGTCTTTTGGAGAACTAGTGACTGTTTTTTCCTTCACTTTCAGGTCCTTGGAACCTCTAACAAGAACAACTCGATCTTCTGAAGCATCCCAGAGAATGATCAACCCATTTTCATATGCAATCAGCAGCCTGCAAAAGGACTCATTCTTCAAAATGCATTAAGTAGCACAAATAACCAAAAGAATATGAAATGACATAACTTGTTTTATTTATGAATCCATCTTTAATCAATGTGAATGGTAACATGTATGCAGGTGCATATTCATATGTGGTCATAGCTTGTATATGCATGTGCATATATATGTTTGTGTGTGCCAACATATATGTTCAACTTAGGAACTAGTTTGAACATCTCTTGCTACTTGAATTACTTAGCCAATACTCAATCGTGCCCAAAATATGATGAATCTCAAAGAGAGTCCATGACCACTCATAAAATGCTAAAGTAACAACTACATGCCTAATCTGGCCGTCCAGCCCATCATGTCAATACGCTTTAGATATAGAGAATTATACAAATGTTGATATGTATCATAATGCTGTTATTGAATTGTTACATGAATTTAAAAATGAACCTGGGTTTGCTAATAAGGATATGGTATCTTATTTAGATTTGCAGAAATGCACCCGCTTAACAAATTCTTGTAACAAAACCTTACAGCTACACACATCCACCACACCTTTGTCATTGAAGTAACAGATCCTCACCTAACTTAATGTAAAAATCCTTCCAGAATCGATTAGGACTCTCTCCCTTACCTTCTCCAGCTGAATAAGATCATCTTAAAAATCTATGAAGTTTTGCCACTAGTAGAAAAACATATGACAACCAAATGCATGCTTTGAAATGAAAAACCAGGATCTAGGCATAGCATTTTCACACTATTTATCTTGCCTGTTTCCAAAAGCATTAGGTTGATGGAGAACTCCAACAACAGAAAGCTGATCAGGCAATGACATTCCAGCTGCTTCTGCAAAATCAGAAAATAATTGAGCATTAGAATATAGTGGAGATTACATGACCACAGAAACACCCCAGGGCGTCTGCATTACAACAAAATATGGCATCAGCCAATTACAAGAACCTTGGCAATTACCATCTATAAAATTCGCAGTAATATAATATGGCAATAACTTAATTTTTCCATCTTCAACATCATACTTCAGAACAGAGACGATTGCATATTCGCTTCCAATGTACCTGGCAGTAATGATAGTATAATGTTATATTCCGTTGTCACGTTTTTAACTTGCATTTGCAACCAATGAATGTCAACCGAAGATGCAGTACAGAAATAAATTTTACAAGTGCTGTACATGTAATTGGCGCCATAAATAACAGAGAAAGCAGTTATATTGCATTCCCACTGTAAAGAAGAAGCTATGCGCCTCTTTTCCAAATCCCAAACCTGCCAACATCAATAACCTATTAAACCAATCTACATTGTTAGTATATAAATACAGTAAACACAACATTAAAGATAAGGATCAAGATGAAAAACTCTATGAATTGGATAGTGCCTAGTAGCAGATGTAGTTTTTAATTACAAGTTTGGATGGCTTAAGAAAAAACAATACCTGAATTTCATTTTCACTTGAGACACTGGCTAGAAAACCTTGATTTTGTAAGAACTGAAAAAAATACACAATCTACCAACTTGTTAGAGGAACAAAAAAGAAGGAAAATTTCTGTCAAACTATACACAGATCAAGTCGACTTATGAGATCCCGGAAACATTCTGAATTTACTAACCTCTAAATTTTTAAAAGGCAACGGCTTAGGAGATGTAAGAAGCTCTTGGATATTATCACCACCTATCACTTTTATCCTACCATCCCTGCATTCAGGGCAGAATAAAGTCAACTTCAAGTTAAGAAACTCCTACCTTTTGCATATAATGCCCACTTGTTAACTTTGCGTGACAATGCGCATACTGAGAACTTCTGTTAAATTGGGAAATCCGCCTAAGGATCTTCTACTATTTTGAAGAAATGACACTTTTGGACCACAAAATTTGGCTTTTGAATTTGAGCAGGAAAATTTGGAGAGCTCAGGAGAATATGTATAAAGTGAACAAAATATACATCAACAACTGAAGTGATGAAAATCTTGTGACAAGTAGAATACACATAGAACATCTATTACATAGAAAATACACATATCTATAACATGATACTTGATAGTTGTAAAAACTCACAGTGTTCCAATTGCCAACAGGCTTTGTGTGCGATCAAGTGCGAGAATGGATGCAGTGGATGGTATCCCATAGTGAACCGTGACGCGCGGATCCAAATCTGCTTGTCTGACCCTTGCCTGAAGCACATTATGCCAATAAAGAATATCAGAAAATGTTTCAGCTCAACAATTTCAAGAGCTCTCTGTTTCTCCTTCAAATTTTTTCCTTTTTCAGTGATGAAAACTTAAAATTCAGTTAGTATTCAAATTCAATCAGCGTCCATTGTAGCGAGTCAATGATTTTCACACCAAAACAATCAAAGATAAATTCAAACATTCATAAATTCAATCAAATTTTAACAAAATGAAACGCGATTAAGAAAAAAAAAACTCAAAAACAAATTAGCAATGAGAAAGCAATGGAGAGAGTACCCGAGGATGTGAAGCTGCTTGTGGCGATGACTTGTTGAAGAGCTTAGCGAACATAGTGATTCAACGACGAGATTTGGTGGAGCCTCAGCTGTTTGTATTTCTTCCTCTGCTTTTACTTGACGAAAAAAATAAAAATAAAAAATAAAAGTTTTGGGTTCGGTTTCTTGGTTTCAGGTGTGGTACGGACGGCGATGATGGCGCGCCAATCATCGCCACGTAGAGGATGTTTATTGGACAATGGACGGTGGAGGAGGGTTCGCTGACCGTCGGATGCTTTAAGATTCTTGCTTGATTGATTTCAGATGAAGGCGTTTGCATGACTCTGTCTACGTCCTAATAATGACGGGATAATGACATAACTACTTTCTCTCTTATATTTTTTCCGTATCTTTTGTATTATCCTAATTTACAAATTATTTCAGCTAATTATGAGTATTTTTTGTTACGATAAATAGTCTAATCATAACAATTAAATTTGTAATATCAGCTAATCAAATTATATCATGTAGCATGGGAAATAATATTTCGCATTGCATTTCTTAAAGCTTTTTTTAAATCATGATTTTTGAGTTCATTTTTTTGAGCATGATGCACCCTAATAATTTATGAGTAAGTCATGCTCACTCATGCTTAAGTTTTGTTCACCGAATAATACGATGAATTTCATCTATTTTAAAACTTAGGATTACGCAAATACAAGTATGACAGATTTTTGGTACAATTCCTACTTGGTATGAACGCATTTAGATCAACATACTTACTCTTTTTTATTATAGTATAATATAATCAATTATTCAATAAGAGGATATGGTATCCACGTCATTTGTTGAAATAAACAGACATCATTGTATGGCTTCAAATTCAAAGTGTCGGTAAAAGATTAAATTGTACGAGGAAAACTCAAAGAGGCAAGACCAAAACTTGATGAATATAATGGGGGCCAAACTTTAAATTAAAGTGCCCAATAATGTGATTGCTGAGGGATTCGAGATTAGCAAACTATCCTAGCCAATAATGTATTGATATGTCGAAAAGTTTTTACGCGTGTCGTTGCGCTATTAACCTAATATATCAAAAAGTGTTATTCTCATTACATGAAAGTCCATGAGAGATTAGACTTATAAGCATAAGCCAGTTTTCCAATGCTTGAATTGAAACTGGGGCTAGCTACATCCAAGAAGCAAAACCAACTGTCTCTCACTTTCTTTCCTGTATAGTCCGAAGAAAGATAAAAACAGACCTTTTTAAAAATAAAGGGTTAATTCTTGGTTTTTGAGTTGATTACATGAGCATGTCTCAAAGTATATCTACCTTTTTTAAAAACATGCTGATTACTTAATGAAAACTACACATAATTTAGAAGTATATCTCCTACTTTTTTATTTTTTATTTTATGGATAAACAAAACCTAAATGGCACCCCATGCGACCTGCCACCAGCAGAGGGAGGCACAACTTCCCTCACAACAAGGCAGCAGATTGCCATTACACCTGCAAAAGTTCGGAATTTTTTGGGTTTACCAAATATATAATAACAAGAATATATATATATATATATTCAGTTCTCAATGTAGTACTCAGATGCAGCACACTCATGGTGTTCCGGAATTTTATTACTAACTGCAGCTTAAATGTCCCAAAAGCCGGACAATGTGATTCATCCAAGGTGGCTTCAAACTCATAAAGGAAACACAAAGAATTAATGATGAACATTTTTCTTTCACGTTTGTTGTACGGAAGATGCTTTATTTTTCGACAGTTTAACATGTTATCATTGTTATGCATGTCATTAAACTATTTATTCTAATCGTTGATTAAATAAATCTTTTTCATGTTTTGAAATCAAAATTAACAAATTGATAATATTGATGCATAATGATTTTATTTTCCCATAATTAACAATGCCCTACGTTTTTTTATCCATCTAATCTAGTTTCCTCCCACACGTGTCTACCCAACACACGTGCGATGCATAATGATTTTCCTTAATCTATATATATAAGCTGCGCTGCAAGTCATAATTAACTTTCACTTTCATCTCTCTCTCACTCATGTCCTCCTCAGCATACAAGCAACAGCAACAGCTACCAAACATGCACGGCGGAGCCACCTCAGCACCACCACCAACTCCGTCGACGCAGCCCAACAACCTCCTGTCCACGTCATCAGGTGCCACGGCGGACGCCCTCTCGAGGCTCCTCCACCGCCTTCCCCCCACTCTCTCCCTTCCCAAGAGCCGCTCACCCGCCACGTGTCCACCTTCCATCTCCTTATCCGACGTCCAAGCCAACCCGAGTACCCTCTTCTCCTCCTCGTCCCAGCTCGGCTTCTTCCAACTCACCAACCACTCCGTCCCGTCCCAACTCGCCAACTCGGCCGAGTCGGAAGCGCTCTCTCTTTTCGAGCTTCCTAGGCACCAAAAGGAGTCATTTTTCCCCAAGTGCTGGCCTCTGGGGTTTGAAGGGGACGACGATGACGAGGAAGACGACGGAGACGCACTCGGCGAGTCGTTCTGTCTGGACTCTTCGTGTTCTACCGAGTCTTCTACCGAGTCCACTGAGTTGTGTTTAACTTCTCTGCGTGAGTTCACTCGTGCTTTAGAGAAAGTGGGGCTGGAGATCGTTGAGCTGTTGTGTAGGTCAGCAGGGTTTGAGAATCCTCTGGTGAAGGACGACCCGACCCGGTTTTCGTCCATGATGTGGATCTCGGAGGGTAAAAAGTCACCGATGGTGGGTCGGTTTTACCCGCATGTAGTCGGGTTACAGTACCAAATAAGAAGTGGTCAGAAGTACTCTCTGCTGGCGGATTCGGGTTGGGTCTCTGTGTTACCGCCGGTTGAGTCAATTTTGGTTACCATTGGTGACATTGCTCAAGTAAGTTCTCTAAATTCCAATATTAATTATTAAATCAATAATGTTACGATGACTCGATTCATTAATCAAAAATTATTTCTTCGTTAGAAGTACTAATGTTTATAAACGTAAATTTAATTAAATAAAATATTGTCACATCATAAAGCTTATATGAGAAATCACTGTATATATATTTTTCATTTCGATAAATAAAAATGATGATATTTGCGTTATGTAGGTGTGGAGCAATGGGAAATTTAAAAAGGTGAGAGGAAGGGCAGTGGCATCTTTGGGAGAGGGTGAGTGTCGGTGCATATCAATGTCGCTGCTGGTGATTCTTCCTATAGACAGTACCAGTAGAGTGGGTCCTCTTGTTCCAATATCAGCCGTTGATGGTGATCATGATGAGGACAGAAATGACAGAGATGATGATGATGGTGGAAATCAAAACCTGAATGGGAAGAGTGATGGTGAGAATGAAGGAAGGTTGTTTAAGTCATTTTCTTTGGAAGACTATGCTTGGAGAGTGTACCATGAGCGGCTCTTTCTCAAAGACCCCTTGGATAGATACCGTTTTAATTAAGAATTCTGATAACTAGAAGAAATGCAGCATTATTGTTTTGTTTGTTTGTTTGTTTCATTTCTTTTGGGGTTTAATATACTCGGTTGTTCATTGGTAATCCATTGAATTAAAGCTTAAATGATTTGTTTAATTTGGATATCTAATTACAAGTATTTTTTGGCATGAGAAATAGTCTAAACTATCCGAAACCATAACCATTAAATTTTGTAATATCAGCGTAGTATATATGGAGAGACAAATCATAGATTATATCCTTACATGCATAGTTACTAGACACGTATGCAGAGACAAATTATGATATTGTTTGCACTAAATCTTGAGAGAAATAAGAGTTGATATTAGTAAGTCATGCTCAAGTTTTGCTAGCTCTACTATTTGCTACTAGAAAATTATCTCTGGAAACTACTAGAAAATTAGAAAATACAGTAACTAGTAGTTTTAAGAAATGCCCCAATGTTTAATGTGCTCCAATGCCCTCCTCAACCAGGAATTTGTAAACGTCTACGAGCATGTGTGGGAAGAAGGAAGTGAGCCGCTCTACTATTTGCTCTTCACTCTGCAGAAAATGAATACTAATATATATTAGGAGACGTACATTAATATAAAATTATACTTAAAACAAAAATTAGGTTTATCCTAATACCATAAGAAGCCCTTGTAGTTGCCTTGGTATTTCCTCTCTGTCTATGCCCTGCAATAATTGAATAATAACAAAGTTAAGACATATTATTATACAAATAGATTAAAAAAAAAGGAGATTCACTAATATACCCAATATAAGAGCACAAATTATAAAAATACCCTATATGAAATGGACTTTAAAAACACACTCAAAGCTCATTTATAACATAACAAAAAAACTTTTAACTTCTTTTAAATTACAAAATTGCCATTGATTTCTCAAAACAAACCAAATCCCAAAACATATAAACAAGCCAAAAATACTCAATAGGACATCAAAGTAATTTAATAATCAAAATTAAATTCAATAGGGCCAATTGTCATTTTTTGGGTTTTTTTTTTTATAGAAATTAAATGGTGTAGGGTTTATTTATAGTTTTAGTGCTAAGAATGGGTATTTGACTAAATATCTCAAAGAAATAAACGGTGACCAATTTACGTAGTCTTTTTTGGAAGGAATATAAGACGTGATGGAAGTTTTATAAAAAAAATAATACTTACTACGTTATTTTAAGTTATTTTATATTTTACTTTTATTATTTTATTTCATATTAATTAAGTCATCTTTTTTTAGAAGTCTAATTAATAAAGGATATTTCTTAGTATTTTGAAAGTTACCCTAAATTCTTTGGGAAAAAAAAAAGGTTTCCCTAAATTATGCATTTGTCTTTAATTATATAAAAGCCTCTCTGCAAACGTTATAATAGTCTGTCTTTTCATTCTTTGTCTCCATCTTTCTCCTTGTTTTTGTGCGTTTAGAATTTAGAATTTGGAAGACTACGTCAACAATGGGTGGATCAGTGAAGGATGTGCAATTCAAGGAGCCTGATAGCGTGGTCTGGCCCTCGAGGTGCGAGGCTTCGAAGCACATTGACGAGGTCTTTGCCCACTTTTCATATGTACTTGGGTTTTTTCTGGTGCTTTGTGTGTGTGTGTTGGTGTTTTGTTTTTAATCTCTAATTATTGATAAATATTGTAGGTTGAAACTGAAGAACAGCCTGAACCTTTTTCGGTTTTTGATGTGCGGTACTCTGCCTTTGTGAAGGTATGCTTATTGGGTCAACCTGTGCATTAAATCCTTTAGCCTTTTTCGTCTCCAATTGCGGATAAAAATTACAGATTAATTGCATTAAATCAAGTTCCAAGTCTCTGTTCTTTATACTTTTATTTTCAGTCAACCTGTGCATCATGAGTTTTTTTTTTCTTCTTCTCTTTTTGGCCAATTTAAAAACGTTTAGAGCTTAAAAGGAGTCAAGCACAACTAAGAATACTTAAATTAGCTACCTTCTTGAGTTCAGTCTTAGGAGGAGGCGCCTCATAATAGAAATTAGGTACTGCATTTGCTTTGAACACCATGCTCTTCCTTGATGGCTGCTTCTTGCTCTTCCTGAAAGTGTCATGGGAAGAAAATTGCAAATTTATGACTTCTCAAACAGCTCTCATCATATGCGGAACAATTAACACCCAAAAGCAAACAGAGATCCATATTACGCCAGTGCACATTACACAAGAAAATGATATATACATGTTTGCTTAGTTATTTGAGGCTGATTGGTTTTCTGTAAGCATACTTAGTTTGTTGGATGTGAGAATATATTGTTTTCACCTTTCAACAAAGTTCTGCATTTAAATATTAATCAAATTCTGTGAATATGGGGTATTTAGTTTGAAATTTAGTTTTGGGGTTTACTATTATTGATAAATTTTAGGTCCGAGTGAATTTTAGAAGGTGGTTTTCTTTGTTATACTGCAACTTGAGGTCTTTATGAATCATGTGCTCAAGCCTGGGACTGTTGAGTGTTCTGTCACAGGATTTATGATCATTAATCAACAGTTTGGAAGATGAACAAGAAACTTAGATGTCCCATACAATATATAACGTTTACTTTGATCGGATAACTTGAAATCCGTGCAAGTATGAATTGAGTTATGATTGGAAAAAGAATTTTGCTGTTGATAAACGTTTGTCACTAATTTCATTGTTCGTTTGGGTTCTCCCATTGTTATGCATCTTGTTATTTTTTGTTTGTGCTTTCTTTTGTTAGGATGGAAAGGTGGCTGATTCATCAGAAGGTGCATATCCATCTAGTTTGGTCAATAAAATTGGTAGGGTTGCTGGGACAGTTAAGCCTGGAGAACCTGCTGCTGCTCCTCCTGTGAGCCCTGAGACAATCCAAGAGTTGACAAAAGAAAATGAATCTTCCCAAGAGCAAATTCAAGTGCAAGATGGCCTTGATGATGCCTTGAAAAGGCGGCTGCAGCAGCTGATTAACTCTAATCGAGTCATGCTTTTCATGAAAGGAACCCCTGTGGAGCCCAAATGTAAATTTAGCAGAATGGCTGTTAACATTTTGAAGGATGAGGAGGTTGAATTTGGAAGTTTTGATCTTCTTACGGATAATGAAGTCATGGAGGGGATACAAAAGTATTCTAACTGGCCACATTTACCACATATCTACTTTGAAGGGAGGGCTCGTGGTTTCTATCACATAGGAACTTTAATGAAAGGTATCCCAAGTGATAGCGACGATGATTTTGCATAGATTACACAATAGAAAAGTTGCGCAAGAGAGAGTACTGAACTTGATTACAAATTTATTTTTCTTTTGATTTTATTATTTTATGTATTTGACTATTATTTTGGATTTTTTTTTTCCTTTTGATTTTATGTATTTGATTATTATTTTATTCAAAATTACAATTACTGAAGGAAAAAGGATGAAATTTCGAAAAACTTAACGGCAATTTTAGTTTGTCTGCCGCGCAAAGACGAGTTCAAACAGGCGCACCACTTATCCATCCAACACTTGTCTGCCGCGCAAATCTCACGGCCTGGAGTTCCGGGCCGAGGGGATGTGCGTTAACACGGGGTTTCCTGTTTTTGGGTGCGGTGCGGTTGTGCGCGGGCGTGCCAGCACGGTTCACCGTGCGTTGATGTTTTGATGGGTGTTGGATGGATGAATGGTGCGCCTGTTTGATTTGTCTTCCTAGTCAAACGATTGTAGCCGAGAGAGGAACTGGTCTCGGCTGTTAGGTTCACGGCCTGAACTACAAGGCCGTCGAGTGATGGTGTTGGTGGTGGATTTTGGGCGGTGCTCCGGCGCGCTGCTCAGGGAGCAACGGTCGTGTGATATATGGGGTGAGTGAACGAACAACAAGGATGGTGCTCTGGCGCCTTGAAAATCAAGGGTCGTATGATATATTGATGAATGGATTCTGCTTACAATCTAGCACTACTCCTAGGAAAGCAAGTAAAGATATTAAAAGTGCATTACAGGAAAAAATAAGTTGCTCCGTGGGAGGCTTGTTTTGGTGTTGAACCCTTTGAATGTAGCTCGAGTCTTGTATTTATAGGAAGAGTCCCTGGATGAGTAATCGAGGCTGAATTTACGCATAGTGGAGTTTGATTAGCGCAAGTGGGCAGTCCAATCGACATTTGGGATCGTGAAGTATGGTGGTGAGACTCCAGAAATCCCGGTGAATCTCGGCGGCCGCTCTCGATCGTGGGTTCTGAACCTCTGGCCGTGGAGACGCATTTATTGCCTGGATAGCTGGTGAACCAACACCTCAAGCTGTCAGAATCCTTGTGAGAATGTCCACGTCTAATCACTCTGATCTCCATCACCAAATCCTGACTTCAGTCACTTCCCACCTTTCCTCATGCATTAAATGCTACTTTGTGGCCAATGGGTTCGCTGCATTAAACAGGCACTACTTCATTAAATGAAGCCTGGGACCCTGTTGTCACGTGATGATTTGCCTTTAATGCCTTGGCCGCAATTTTGTTCGGCCTCGGCCTCGGCCTACGCTTGAGACCGAGATAATCATGCCTTAGCATTTCCTTCTTTTATTTCAGGAAGGCGAAATACCCTGGCGAAACGCTGCGTTTCAGCCTCTGCAAACAAATGCCAGGGCCGAGAGAAAGGGCTCCCTCGGCCAGCTCATGGCCGTGATTTATCAGGCACAAACATAGTTCAAGAGGTTAAGTTCGATTGGGTCCTAGTTCCATTGGATTCTTAGTAACACTTCTAAGCATTTAAGAAGTTAGCCCCAAGCCGGATTTTCTGTGTTTTCTGATGCATCAATGGTGTACACTCCAATCTTCTTGGAAAATCTATTCAATTATATTTCTATAATGTAAATAAGCTTTTGGGTCTCAACTTATTTAAGTGCATAAATTAATTTCGAGGATGCACTCGTGCAGTTTTCTACAGTTATTGCAATTGATATTTGACAGTAAAGGCGTCTTATTGTTGTGGGGAAGGAGGAGGGGACCTTGTTACAGTATACACATCATTGAAACTATAATTAGATATAGTCGTTGAAATTTGTCCAGCATGGCGTAGTAAATGCCACTATAGTATATACCTTCCCTATCCATCTTATTTGAGGAGATTGTTGTCCTGTCTGAAAGGATATGTCCTCTCTTATTTTTTTTATTAATTTATATTTTTTCCGGTAGATGAAAATGTGTAACGTGTGGTCTATGTACCACCATTTCTTTTTTGGACTAAAAGGCTTTCATTAAGAACAAAAGAGGAGTACGAGAAGCCACTAATATGAAGAGTAATACGAGACTCAGGGAAAAAGGCTAAACTCGCAAAGTCTAGAAACCAAAGATTTTCCCCAGAGAGACAAAAACACTAAACTATTACACTTATAGGGGACTAGGAAGTCCATCAGAAGCCAGAACCCGCAGGTGGCTGGTTAGCCCATCCTTACTGAAACACCGCCCTTAATCCTATCGCTGCAGTCACATGAGCCGCACGATTTGCTCCACGAGGGATCCAACACCATTCCACATCAGAAAATCCCCCACTCAGACGCCTGATCTCATCCAGCAACGAGAGAATGGTCCAGGCCTTTGTGCACGCGTTGCCCTTTATATTGTCAATGAGGACTTTTGAATCCGATTCCATCACTATCCTTGAGTAGCCTCTCTGTCTCGCGCACCTCAGAGCTTCAATGGCTGATTCAGTTTCTGCATTTACAGCTGCGTTTACTAGCATATCCAAAGCAGAACTCCTTGTTCTGATTTCTCATCACCACACCTAAAACCCGCCACATGGTTTTTCCAGGTAGCACCCAAATTGATCTTAATTGCACCATTTGCTTTCCAGATACCAGAGGGCGGGGTGATGACACCATCCCCATTTGTGGAAGAGTCAGCTTGACGCTTCACAGCTTCAAATTCCGCCGCTGCAGAAACAGCATTGTCCACCACTCTTCCGGGATCAATCATAAGGTCTTCAAAAAGGAATTTGCACCTTGTTTTCCATATCTCTCCCACGCAATAAAACTAGCCAAAGACGGAACCCAAACTTGTTCATTCTTGGACAAAACATGACAGTTTAACAATCCATTGAACCAACGATTAATAGTGGTGAGACTTTGAGGGTTCACTCGGTAATTCAAGGGGGAGCCAAACCAGACCGCTTGGGTCCAAGGGCACAGAAAAATAGTATGTTCCTCATATTAAGCCTGGTGCAGATGGGGCAGATGGGGGACATAATAATCCTTCTACGATACACATTTAGCCTGGTGCGCAAGGCCCTCCCCATCATGCGCCAGAGAAAAAAAACTTGATTTTTGGGAGAGTGGAAATCGTCCATATGCCTTTCCAAACACATCTCTTAATCACATGGGACGAACGGTTATTCCCCCCAATGGAAGAAACAGAGACCACCAGCTTGTTGTAACCAGACTTCACAGAATACAAACCGAAATTGTTCCAAGGCCACACAATTCTGTCGTCCCTATGCAAATTGCCAATAGGATTCTCACAGATTAGCTTAATGGTGTCTTGGCTCACATATTGAGCTATAGCTTTTGTGTTCCATGTTCTGGTCTGACCATCTAAGATCTCACTTACCAATTGAGGAGCATTCAACGGCACATTGATCAATGGATCAACAAAACCGTGGTGAGGAGGAAGGAGCCACCGGTCCTGCCAAATATTGGTATTGAGGCCATTGAAAACTTGATGTCTCATATTCTCCCTTATAACCTCCCTGCCTTCCAACAGACTTACCCAACCCCAGGAGGGATGGTGACCAACCACAGCATTCATAAATTCACAATTTGGAAAATACCTGGCCTTTAACAATTTTGCCCAGTAGGTATTAGGGTCATAAATCAGTCTCCAAACTTGTTTACCAAGGAGGGCTAAATTAAAACTTGTTTACCAAGGAGGGCTAAATTAAAAGTGTTGAGGTATCTAAAACCCAGCCCACCCTCTCAGATTTAGTCTGTGTACCACCATGGAAAAGTATGAGAATGGTGCACGTGAAGGCAACTTTTAAACATGATATCCCCACGCCAGTCATTGGGTCACACCACGCCAACCACGCTTGTTTGCTTGTAATTTTTGTTACTCTTCTTGTCTTTTAAATGTCAGCAATATATTCTTAAATTATTACACAGTTTCTTCCCAGCCTTCTGGACTTGGTGTAGATTTTTGTCCCTTCCCATAAAGGGCTATCCAAGTATTTGACGGTTCGATTGCATTGAGAACTGGAGGAGCAATTGTAAAGCCATTAAATTCAAACCATTTAATGGTGCACATAAAAGGATTTGGGGGCAAATAATACCTTCGTAAAATTTAAATTCAAACTATATGATGGTGCACATAACAATGGTCAGTCATGTCTAGTTGTTTAGCAAGTCTTTCTATTAAAATACAGTATACTAACCCCATAAGAAAAGAGCAAAATATTGAGATAAAAACCACCTTTTACTTGAGACATTTTCTGAATAGATGAATTCTCACATCTTCAAGCATAAGAATATAGTAGACCATGTGCTACAAATTGCAATTCATTTGCAATAAACACAGTACACGTTGTAGACATCAAAATGGTAGGATGCATCGCATTTATGGAAAACGACATAAAAGAGCACTCATTTCTCTTTTGCTTCAATTCTAGAGTACAATTAAGTCTCAGTTCTCTAATCTTTCAAAGGGCGAATCTCGACAGAAAAAGAACCAGTATAAGGGTCGTAAGTAAAACCACAATTTGCATCGCGTTTCGGGCACTCAAATTCCAAGTGTTCACCTTCCTTCCCACATATTGAACAATCCTTGAGAAATGCACGTCCTAGACTTGTGCCACAATCAGCACAACGTGAGTCTCTAAAGAGGCAGCCACATACAAGACATGCAACCACACAACTCTCGCCAACAATTGCGTCCTTTGTGACTTTATACTCGTAAGAGCATTGGTTTGTTGGGTGCTTATTCACCTTTAAACAATACTTACATTCACCTGTGTGCGAAATTTGTAAATCCATTGTTAAATACAACGAAAGCAATAAAAACAATCATTTTTTAAAGACAATGAATGAATGAAGATGATAAAACCCAAAAATCAGTATTGTGAGCATATTACATGGAATAACAACAAATACATAGATATTACGTAAATAGAGAAGCCGCATGCACCCTTTTCTTTTTTTTTGGATCCCTAAAATCAAAAGCATACCAATAAGATTAGGACGGAGGAGGCTATTGCTTACCAATAATATAGTTAGACTATCACTAGTACTAAAAAAAATCAAAAGCATACCAATAAAACATCCTTCATCCTCTGATTCTTCAGTCTCTGATTCTTTAGACTCTGATTCATCAGACTTACTCCCTGTTTCCATGCAATTACATTGTTAAATACACGAAGAAAAAAAATAAAAATAAAAAAAGGGTGATGATGTCAAAGAAGTTAGAAGGAATGACATCTATGATCCCGTCAACTATATTATTAAATATCGGTTTTACATCATGCAAACACCAAAGTAACTTGGCTGGAGAAGTCATCCTTTTAACATATGAGTTATTTTCCACATGACAAAGAATAACAACAAATGCATAGATATTATGTCATAAAATAGAGAACCTCTCGTCTCTAAAATAAAGAGCATACCAATAGAATTAGGAAAGCGGAGGCTAGACTATCGATTGTATTCACGCACACAAAAAGCAAAAAACAAACAAACAAAAGCATACCAGTAGGACTACGAGGGCCCTCGAACAGATAAAAATAAGTACGAATTTCTTCTTCCGTTAGATCTGATAGTTTTGTACTCTCTGATTTAGTCTTTTGTTCTTCAGTCTCTCTATCTGCTTGCACGCAATTACATTGTTAAAGACCAAAAAAGAAGGGGAAAGAATGGGTGATGATGTCAGAGAAGTTAGAAAGGAATGACATCTATGATCCCATCAACAAATAAACTAAATTATTAAATATCGGATATCCATATAAGGCACACACCAAAATAACTTAGATAGGAAAATCATCTTTAAAAACTAATTCAAAATTTTGGCATAACATATGTCCTCTAATTACAGCAACAAAAATAAAAGAAATTTCATATAATCTTCCTCACAAACCCTAATAACTAAAATCAATAGCATACAGGAGCCGTAGGACATAAGGGAGGATATAATAACAATATTACTGAGTGGAGGCAAGGGCCTTCACTGGACCCTTCCGCCCATGCTACTGGACAGACCAAATGTGAAATATTTTCACTGTACAAAGAAAAATTTTCATATACAAAAGTTGTGGCATAAAATTTAAAGCCCAAGTAATTAAATTGCTGATAGTCTTGGTCACCCTTGATTAAAAGAAAAACGAAAAGCATATATACATACCGATTATTGGCGTATTGCAATTGAGGGGAATTGTAGCTGGCGAGAAAAGGTCCTTTCCGCCGCCGTCCTTACCCATTTATAAACACACCCAAAAAATATACAATTGTTGATTTTGGGGTTGATTTTGAGTGTGTTTCTATGTTTAAATAGTGTGTGGGTTTTTTTATAAATACATGCCTAGGATTGGATTTATTTATAATAATCTAAAGAAAGAATGCGTTTCTTACTTACATGTTATATAGGCGGTTTGGTGGCTTGATTGAATAACCGACCATATTAGGACCATATTAATCAATATTATTTTTTCCATTTAAGTCTTGATTAAATAAACAAATACCCCAATGCACGCATCTTTAATAACTAGGGCATTAATTTCTAGTTTTGATTTTCCGATTTGGTTTGGGATTTTCGTTTTCTCTACTGGAGCAGGAATATTTAGGTGATTTTGAGTCCCAAATAAAAAAAAAAGTTAATTTAATGTGGTTTTTCCTTTGTTTTACGTTTCCTTTTGCTTTTCAAGTTTGCGCTAATACTTCCAATCCAATCCCATTCCCCTCTGCCATCCTTCCTCTTTTCTTTCCATCTCCTCCTTGGACTCCTCCTGCTCTGTTGCATGCTCAAGCCCTCACTTTATTTATGTTTTCTTTAACAATTATTTTGTGTGCTAATTTGTCTTTAACCATTGGTTTTGCCTTTTCTTTTTTCTCTTTTGTATCATATATTTTGGAACTCTTTTTAAAAAAAATTTCATTGGAGTAATTATCTGCAATGATGGAGTTACTTCTCAACATGGAAATCAAATTACTTGTTGACACTACTAAAAAAAGGGCAAAAGACGACCAGTAAACAACGACGGTAGATCAAAAAACCGTCGTTGTTTTTTAAAAGACGACGGTAATAGAAACCCGTCGTAGAAACGTACTTTAAACACCTAAAAAACGGCACACGTATAGACATTTTGAAACCACGACACACCAAATTAAAAAAGCGTCGTCTTATTACAAAGGTATTTTTCAGAGTTAAAATCTGAACCTAAAAACAACGACTGCATCTATGAAATCA